AAGAAGCCACTTTTTCATCATTATCGAAAAGAAAATCAACAAAAGCCTTTCACAAATTATGTTTACGGTAGTTTGCCATCGGTCTTAACTAGGAAACTAATCATTACGCAGGTCTGAAACAGGGTTTTGATTTAAGGCTCAGGTCATAAAAAGGGTTTCGAATTTTTGGTCAGGTCATAAATAGGGTAGGGAATATGGCAGATTTTAAGCATAAATAGGGTAAGGGTTTTGGGACGCGGGCCGCACACCCCCACCCAAGTTTTCTAGGAGTACCTCCCCCCCACAAGGTTCTGGGACACACATTCTGGGGCGCCCCGGGCCGCCTCCAAAATGTCGGCGTCCCGAATTGTCCCCAGAATACGTGCACCCACAACCCTCACTATATATGTGTCTCAACTTTGTGTAAATTTGTTTTGCCCCAGAATTATTTTCTATTGAACAAATGTGTTACCCCAGTATACCAATCATGGGTCGTGGGCGAATAGGACCAATTGATCAAAGCCAAAAGAAACCAAAAATTCGCAAACGCAAAGACAAAGAAAGAGGAGAAATGCAGTGCTGGCGTTTTGATGGGCCGAACGATGATAAAATATCATTATTCTTACCGCATAATGGACATGAGTGAGTGAGTGTGATTCTTACCAGATGATGTCGTTGGCACGATGAAACGGATGAATCCACAAGAGGTTGCCAATATTCTCCTTTCAAAAGAAATGTAAACAAGCAAATTTGCTCGAGCATAAAAGGCGTCGTGACGTCAATGGAATTCCTGAGCGCCCAAGAAAATTAGCGCTTGAGTTTAATTTTTCATTTTTTTTAAATTTTATTTTTAGGGCGCACAGGAATGCGCTGTTGCTAAGGCGCACGGGTATGTGATCTCTTGTTTTACACGTGCAAACCTATTGTTCTTTGACGTAAAAAATTGATAGGCGCGTGATATTCAGCCTTTTCGTGGCAACCAATATTGAYCACAAAAGACGAGCGTATATAAGCGGTTGTTACAGCCGCTTAGGCCTTTAAAATATCGTAAAAGAAAGGTGCCGATTGTGAAAATATATATTTTTGATTATACATAGAGCTCAATATGGATATGCATGCTGCCGAATATCAATCGGTCGCAAGGTCAAAAACTGAAGCCTTTAGGAATGTAACCGCGTCAAAACATTTCTTTTTTTTTTTGTTTTATATATGCGATGCGAGGCGAGCGCATTGTCAAGAAGAAATCCTTTTCCAAGGATTGGCTACTGAAGAATACGAAAACACTCAAAAAACGCCCGAAGAGTTGCTTTAAGAAACAGGAAGGTCTTGAAGATGAGTTTTGTGGGCGACAGTAGCCAATAAGTTGGGGGAGAAAAGGCGGAGTAGGCAAAGAAAAGTTGAATTGGACAAACGCGGTTCTAGTTGACAACACGATGGGACGCGAGCAAACTAACGATGTTATTGACACACCACCCAAAGACAGGCGCTTTTGGCCAGCCGTTGTTTACTCGAGCATGACTGGGCAAGCACATTAGTTAATTCTGTTTTTTTTTTGTTTTGTTTTTTTTTGTTTCCGGCGCTTGGGTGTCGTGTTTAAATTCCTGAGTGCTTGAATAAAGTTTAGCACTCAGGAATGTATTGAAACAAAAGACGGGGGTTTCCCAGCTTTTGAAAAAAGAAATGATCTGCTGAGTGGCAAAGACAAAAGCCTGTCTTATTTTTCAGAGGTTTTAGTCTCAAGCATGGCAGCAACGATCTCGCGCGCAATATCACGCACATTTTTTTGCCACTCTGGTTCGAAATATTCATTCACGAAAAACGCAAACATCTGAGAGAGCACAATCATGTTTTACAATAAAATTGTGTGTTTTTAGATGGCGTAACCCAAGGTAACCCAAAGCGAATTTTTGTT